CATAAGTGAGGGATACTAATTGCAAGTATCCCTTCTTAATTTTTTTACCTTTTTTATGGGGGGGGGGGGGGGGGGGCTGGGGTTTTTTTTTTAAGTAGGGAGAACACGATCAACAACTTTTTTTTTTACATGGCCTAATTATATTTTTAAATTTGTTAATTAATCTGAATTCTCTTGTTAAATGGATTAGGCAATTAATTAAAATAGGCTTAATATGGCTGCATAAAAATATACAAAGTTATTCCATACCTTTAATTTTCAATAGTATTATTTAAAAAGTGATTTTTTAAAAAAAATTATAGTTTTAATATTGTGGGTACAGTTTAGTCTGTGTATACAGTACCTGTATCTGTGTTACCTGTATCTGTGTTATTTTGTTGATGTGGGCCTAAGTTTTTAAATATTTTTTTTAAAATTTAAGTTGAACGCATGACTCTTGTAAGTGCTGCCTTTCCAGAGGTGTGTGTTCACAAAGGAAATAAATAAAATAGTGGCAGAAATTTGCATTGCATAAGTCTCAACATGTACTACTTGAAAGTTTCCTAATCCCAGATGGAAATCCCCAACCACAATGAATAACTACCAATCCCAGGTGTATGAAGAAGATTATAGAACCAGGAAAATGTTATGTAATGACTCCCTAATAGAACTAGCTTAAAAAAATATATATATATAAATATCAATGTATTTAATGAACCTTGAGACCAAAAATTCCTAAAAACATTTTAAACTGATATTTAATTTTAGCGATTATTTTAATGATCTCTATACATTCTACATACGTTCACTGAATAAACCTCACATTTAGAAAAAATGAAATCAACTATACAATTCTCCCTCCAATTAAAGACCACTAACTTTTGACTAAAAGACATTTTTGGTCTTTAAGTCAAGATGGGTCTTTAATTAGAAAGAGACCTGTATTTTTTCCAACAGGAAGAAGCAATCAAGTTTCGGTCACAGCCTGTACAGACGTGCCACTCAATGGAGTACTCTATGTAAATCAGAGAGAATTTGCCTGCTCCCTCCCAGATGATGGTAAGACCATTTCATACACTCCCACAGATGGAGGCGCGGATCCAATGTTGGTCCACGTAACCTGGGCCCCTCCCCGTTTTGGAAAGAGCAAAAGGGAAAAAAAAAACGCCAAATATATTTTATTACCACATATTGAGAATGCGCTATGGTCAACATTGTATTACATTATTATTTGATTCTTTGCAGGCAGGACCTTGTGGTAAATTATGCACTGTAGAATAGACCATCTGATATGACTTGCTATATCTTTTTGTCTTTCATAGATGCAATCAGTGTTATAGGGACAGAAGATGCAACAACATGTCATATACTTGTTCTCAGGAATAAAGGTAAATGACAAGTTTTTTTTGGGGGGGGGGATGGTTGGAGGGGCTCTTTTAATGTAGTTTTTCTTCATAATTTTTGCTTAATGATAATGACAACATACCTACATGTAAAAAGGTAATTCTGTACTGCAGAACCCCTCCTTTGGGACACCCTATTTAGGAGACACATGTTCAGCCATGTAATATTTTCAGCCCCTGTAAAGGGGCATCCTTATTATTGGGACACTTTTTTGGTTCTGATGGTGTCCCCTTAATAGGGGTTCTAGTGTGCAATTAAATATGATATTTAAAGTACTTATCTCAACTTATATATCTGCACCTTGTTTTTTATTTTTTTTTATTTATTAGGTAGTGGTGCAACTTGTGTGGCCCACTGTGATGGTAATGGTACAGAGCAGGGCATCAAAGACATGCTAGCAACAGTAATGATGTTAAGTGATGCCAAGTTATCTGGAAGGTGACATTTTCTTATTCATTTTTTTTCAAATGTGTTGTTTTATACCTACAGTAGATAGTAGGGGACCTGATGCTAATGCAGCATAATTGATAATGAAAAGTGACTGTGGGTGGTTGTTTTATATGTCTGACTGACGTAAAAAATCGTCCAAAAACCAAACTCAGGATTTGTCTTATACACGGATCACATACAGTATGCGTGAATGGAAAGTTAATGGCTTTTTAATGCGAGCCAAGGAATATACAGTAGTTGAAACATACCATAAACCACTTTACAGACTGTCAACAGTGCAAGCTGCAGTATCTTAGCATGGCCAGCTGAGAGTGACTACACAGTACTTAAGCAGCATGCTGACCATGTAAAGTTACTGAACCCAAGGAAATACAGAATGCTAGCAGACTTTTCCCACACGTTAGTCGATATAAACCACCGTAGTTGGTAATAGTTTTCCCAGCATGCATGCCCTAGATACCAACAAGCTACTATCAAATGCTACACCCCTCGCCCTTCTCTTTCCTCTTCTTCCTCCCATTCTCCCCCTTCCTCTTCTCCGCTTTCCTCTTCCCTTCCATTTCCCCTCCCCCTTATTTTTTATCTTGTATTGATTGACAATTATTTCCCTCTTTTTTGCAGGTTAGAGCTGCATATATTTGGTGGATTTTGTGATGACCGTCTCCAATCGCAGTCATTAACAAAAGATATACTTGGTATGAGCAATCAAATCTTAATGCATGCATATTTTGAAAGAATGCCAATTACTGCAGCATATGTTATTAACAATTAGTGCATGGTTTTGAATAGGAAAATAACATTGGGAGTTACATTGATAACATCACAATTGACTTATAATAGATGTTAGCGCATGATCTGATCTGGTATTCATGATTTCAGAGGTCAGTGTATTGTTGTCTGTTTGACAAAATGAATTCAAAAGGGAGCTTTCTATTTCTGCAGTGCTTTGACACTAGAATGGATTCATTCATGGTCGTCTGCAAAACAGATTTGCGCCAATTTGTAAACTAAAATCCGCATGACAGCGAGAACGTAGCGTTCTCCCTTGCACAGATGTTTTTATGTCGTGATGCAATCGAAAACTTCCTTATTATTCAATTATGTATTGCAAGGGTGAATCCAAAGTTGTCTGAAAGGGGTCTATCGAGAGACAAAACTACCTTAGAGGAGTGTTTGTTTTTTAGACACCTCTGGAGCATTTTGGATGATCAATAATTCCTTTTTCTTTTTTTTGTCTTTCCAAAAGGCCCCTACTATCTTAGTTCACTCCCTAATGATATGCTAAACTGCAATACATTTTACTCTTTTTAAAATAAACTAAAAAAAGCACTCAAATATAGTTAAAGACTGATTTTATTGAAATTGAAATTTTTAAGGTTAGTTTAACAATTTTTGAGAATACTGTTATACATTGTTTTTAAATTTTATAAAAAATCTATTTTATTTATTCTCTCTGTATTTTACTCATGTTACTTTATATGTTTGTATTTGTTATAAGGGCCTCTTTGAGTCAGCCTCGCTGTAAGAGCCACCCTTATAAAAGAAAGTTAAATAAATAAATAAAATAAAGATTCTTGTCATGACATCTAGAATCGGTTGATTTCTGTTGTGAAAACATAATTGGATTTCTATATTACCTCATACGGTGTTTGCTGTTATTTCAGCTTCTATTTTTTCACAGATGAATTTCACAACCAACCACTTCCAATTTCTTTGATGACTGCTTGCATGTCAGGTAAGATTTCATCCATTTCTAACTTAGCTTAATCCATGGTTTAAAAGTGCTATGTCTATGACTTTGATTTACTGCAGCGATGTAGTTATGGTGGGCTGAGGTGGGCATGGCCACCCAGCTTTCATGTTTTCCACCCAGTCTAAAGCTAATGTCATGACCTGCCACCCACCTTTATTAACCCACTTTACCATCCTTAAAATCCACTCTTATTATTTAGAATTTACAAATGTTGTCACCCACAACCGTTGAAATGTCTATCGCCCAACCATAGTGTTCTGTAGCTACAACCCTGTAAGTGTTTGCTTTTCCTTTTTATATTGCAATTAACCTACACAAGGCCCTGGAAACCATTAAAAAAATGTAATACATGTTTCCTCAGACTCCAAATTGAAGACCACCTCCAATTACTTACAGACTTTGTCTCAAATCATTATAAGCTGCATCTCAATCTAATGTAGATTTATTTCTTTGATTTTAGATTTTAATGATGTAGTGAAGAATGGAATACATTGGCCTGTTATTTATGGCATTGGTTCGTCTACCTTTTTTCTCTCTTTTAGTCAAAATAAATTTATTATTTATAGTATTAATTGAAAATTGGTCTGTGACTACCTAGCGGTTTTAAAGAGCCATTTATAGTAGCTAAATGTTCACATCATTCCACGACGACAGGTGCTTAAATGAACCATATCATCAGGGTAACTCCCTCTTCTTCCGATAGATGCAGTGGGTTCTTTGAAATGCACAAGAGCCAGATTTGTACACTGGACCTCCATTTTAAGTCCTTATCCGAGAAGACATGCTTTAGCAAACCGAAACCTTTAGCGAGTAGTAGCTCGAACCAGTGCCGATGTTAAGGCTGTAGTTTTTATTATTTTCAATTAAGGTTTTGATGTAAGCTATGATACAATTAATTACATCCATAATTATAATATTTGCATAATTGTACATATATTAACATGAATGCACTTATTTATTTTGATTGGCAGGTGTTGATTTAAAAAATGGAACAATATTTCCTGCAACTTTTTCAGACAAAGGACCAGATATGACCCTTAGGAGTACCAAAACATTTGTTGGTGATAAGGATGTAAGAAAAATTATATGTAATATTTTATAGTAATGAGGTTGATTTATAACATGCCTATTAATAGATTCTTGTCATTTGATTGGTGGATTTCACATCACATGACATTGGTTATTTACGCCATTTCGTCACAAACTATGAGTTCCATGCTTGCATTTTTGTATCATTTTTTTTTATCTGTTTCACCTCTCAACCTAATCTTTTCATTTGTTAAAAGAAGCTGGACTGTTCCATTCAGAAAAAAAAGATTTTTTTAATAAAATATCAAATGACAAGGATCTATTTTAGGTGTGTTATAAAACAAATAATGAATGTTTTTTATTCGCGCAATATAAAGAATATTTTCATAAGTTGAAAGATTGTCTGCTCCATTCAACTTGGCTCTGCCTCATTGAATGAACAGTCAGTTTTTACACACATGAAAGTGTTCTTCCCATTGAATTCATAAACATTTATTATTTGTATAATTAATCAATGGATGGGGACTTGTAAAATCAACTGGCTAAGCTTTGAAATTATCAACCACACTGCCCAATACAAATTTCTTATTGGGATTCTAAACCCATTTAAAATAATGAATTCAAAAATCTGAGTTACATATTTCAGGATCATAATAAAGTTAATTTACTTTATGTGCCTTTTATGTTATGTCATGATTTGATTTTGAATTAAAATAATCATTTTTAATTTTTATTGTAGATGATGA